TGTATTTGGTTTCTTTGGTGGTTTGAGATTAATTCTTGTTTTGATTTTGTGTATGAACTAGAAAGGTCATGTACAACCAGAGGGAACATGGTGTTTGTACACACAAATAGCAGTTTGGCAAACAAAGATGGCAGAAAAATATGAAAGGTGACACTGAATCAGCTTCTGTGTCACAACTGAGCGTTTTGAGCACCCTAACAAACCATGAAGCCCACATCCCACAGACACATTTAAATCGACAGACATGCACAGCTGCACGTCATATGAAGGTGTCAGTTCCGATTATGAGGTCAAAACAATATTCATTGCACACAGAAACTGAAACCATTCATGCTCCAGTTATTTACCTCTATCCTCTGATGACTATATTCTATTCTCTCAAAAACAGTCTTTAAAAAATGACAAACTACCATAAAGTTTTCTGTTAATCCCTCATTCAATATTTTGAAAATCATAATTTCATGCCCACCAATCATTTGTTAAGAGCAGACATCAAGGCAGCTCATATTACAGCAATTATCTTCACGTAAGTCCCTCATAAAACCAGGGAGCATTCTTTGAAGACTTAAAACTGTAAAATCATCACTTTTTCATGTATGATTTTCCCCTTTCAAATGGTACAGTCAAACCTAGAGCGAGCGTGACTTTGTGCTCTGATAAAAGGGAGATGTTTATCCTAAATTGAGCTTTGATTCAAAGAAACTTTCCACTTTTAATTTTTGGAACCAGAAAATGCATCCTGCCGTTCCTGGAGAATCCCTATGGTTATTATCAGCATATGAGACTCTTAAATCAGTGGTAGTTGTAGTAAAGGAAACTGTGGTTTCAGCATTAAAATGTGAGCCTTCTGCTGACTGGAGTCTTTTTTACACATTTGTGAAAAGAACTTGTGGATTCACTCTCTAAATACCTGTATGCAGTGCAGTAGATCTGTGTGATAGTAGCGGTCATGATGAGCGTTGGCAGCAGCTAGCGTGAGTAAGTAGTCATTCCTGGCCTGTGTCGCCTTGGAGTTACAGTCACTTCTCTTCGCTTTTAGCTGAAACCAAAAAGAGACAACATTGCAATGATGTACTACAGAAGCAGAAAAAGGCTATACGCTTTAAGTTGAGTGTTTAGGTGCTGGTTTGAAGGAGTGTTATGTTGGTGTCTTTATCTGTTTTCAGACATGATTTCTGGTAAGGTCCAGAGAATTGGGTCCGGAGTTTACCCAGAGTTTCTTTCACACATGCACAATGCAGGAGGATCTCTGCACAGACGTGTTCACAACAGCAAAAAAATCCTCCACAGATTCAGTTGAGAGGTGGAGCAGCCGGTTACAGCAGACAGAGGCAGGAAGTGACGCATTAACTCTGCTGCGTGGATCACATGATTTTCTGTGTGACACCACTTTTTCTTCATGAGATATTTCTTTTCTTTTTGTTTGTTTGTTTTTCTTTTTTGCATCTCTTGCGTGTTAGACAGATGCAACCCTTCAGTGCATGTCTGAAAGCAGCTTTTGTGAGTGAGCCCTCTTACCTTTACACTTGCTTTCTGTAAACTAATTCTCGACTGAAAAAGCCCCAGTTTAGACCTGGAAGAAAATACACCAAACAAGGAAGTTAATTTTGATGAATAATACAGCCATATCTCCTTTTAATTAAAAAACAATTATATGAAGTTATCTATCCCTGTGCACTTAAGAATGCCAAAAATTAAAAAACACATTGGTGTATGTTTAAATACCTCATTGCTATTTGATTCATTCACATAGATGCATTTAATTCAACATATATTTATAGTAAGGTAGAGAGGAGAAAAAGCTCTGTGCATTTCTACAACATCATAACTATGCTCTCTAACCTCTGATTTACAGAAGTCCTCATAAATTGACCCTGAACAGTCTCAGGCTTGACACCAATAAATCTCAACCTGATCCAGCCAACAGGATTTATACTCATGGTGACATCAGAAAGATCTGCTTGATAAAATGATAGAGGGTCTGTGTGTGCGCATGTGTGTGTGGCCATACGTGTTCCATAACCTCTCACATCAGATGGAAAATACATTAGGGGTGTGTGAGCATGTCTGTCGCTTGCCTTTACTGTGTGTGTCTGCATTATATGTTTCTATGTTCCCCTGCACCAAGTATTGTTGGATGTATAAAGATTGTGTTGTCTCTTCATCATCATCTTCCCGGTGACTCTCCTGCCTGACAGAGACTAATGAGTCGCTGTTTCTCGCTAATGAAATACACACACACACACACACACACACACACACACACACACACACACACACATCCACTCATGCGATGGCAAAAAAGGCAATGCAGTAATTTCTGAGGCTGTGACTTTCTACTCAGCAATAGAGTACAGAAAAAAGCTCATTGGCCAATCGATGTGGACGCTAACTGGAGTCTGGAATTCAGTGAAGTGAAAATACTTATATAATGCTATAGCTAGAGCTACATGGGGGTAAAGCAACACTCATCAAGATTGGATCAAAGTTTGGTTAATTTTTGATCCCTATAGCAGAAACAAATGGCACAGGAAAAAACCCAAATGTAATTGTGACTGGTTAGGTCTTTCGGTGCCATACAGGACATATTCTGGGCCTCTCACATACATATGTTCTCCTTTCTCATATATAATTTCAGTTTGATAATCAGATACATACATTCTCACACCCACAGTAAATATATTTCCATTTCAAACATATACCGTCATTCTCACATCTGTCCTTTACACTTACATATAATGCATTCAGTAAGTAATCAGAACTCGAACATCAGAATGTATTTGTTTATCATTCTACAATGCCCCATAATCACAAACAGAAGACATCATTTTAGAAATGTGGGTAATCTATACAAAAGTTGAAACTAAAATATCACATTGACATAAGGACTTGATTATACTCCATTGCGGATGTGTACACAAACAGCTGCAAACACCACTGAGGCGTATTTGTGCAAATGGAAAGGAGTAACAGTCTGCAATAACAAAAGCCTGCTGTGACACCTGAATACACTGCTGAGTATACATGACTTTCTCAGGCATTTGGTAAGAGGTTTTAGGACATGAAATGTAAACAAAAGGATCTGAAAATATTGGCTCGGCTGTTTAACTCGATGCGGGCTAATGTATCCAACAACTTACAACATGAATTCATTGAGCAGCAAAGCTGCTGTTGTGAGCAGTTCTTTTTAGAAGTAACTCTTGAGAACACTTGGTTTCATTCAAGACTGACTGACCTAGAAAATCTTCTGCAAGTAGCATCATCATCATTACTACCATCTGGCATCAGACGCCTCACCAGAGAGAAGCAGGGCCTACCATCGCATTAAAGAGGTTAGTCTGATCCATGAAGGATGTAAACTGAAATGGCCCTTGATAAGTAAAGGATTCCGTATACCTGCCGTAATTGCTCTCAAAGGTACTTCAAGTACTGTGTAAAGGGTCTGACAACGTATGTCAATGTGATATTTATTTTTTCCCTTTTACTGAATTTACAAAAATGTCTCAAGTTCTGTTTTCACCTTGTCATTATGAGGTAATGAGTGTAGGTAGATAAGAGATAGAGAGAAGAGTCTAACAATATGCTGGATAACAAAACATTATGAGTGTGAGTCATTATGAGATGACATATGCCAGCACCCACAACACAAAAAAGAGCTATCTCAGTTACCTGAAGTTGTAATAGTCATTAGATGAACAACTCATTCTTTTATATAGTGCTTGCTTAGTGTGTTGTGCAGTGTATGGAGCAATATTGTATTTCAGTGCCATTGATAACAGGTGAATCCCTTCATATCCAAACAGAACACTGCCTGGGGCCTCTCTGTAGCTTATTATTGATAAGTTGAAATAAGTTGAGATATCCATTTCCATCCAGCACCATTTCACTACTTCAATACTTAATGGCTGCTCTTATTCATGACATTGTTATTTTTATGTATATCCCCCCCCACACACATACACAAACGGTTCCCTGGTGAACTTACCTGGCCTCTATGTCAGCCTTCTCCCGTACAGCGTGGGCAACCTGCTCACAGTCGTAGTATTTTTTCTTGGCTTTGGCCAACTCCTTTACCGACTCCTGCAGCTCTGCCTGAATGCCACTCAACTGATCTATGGTCTGCAAAGGGAAAGAGGAAAGCGGGCGAATAGTCAAAGACAGAGCAGAGCAACGTGACTCATGTTAAGTCAGTGTTGAATATGTGGAACAATGCTGCAGAGAGAACAAAGATTGCTTCAGGAAACTATGAGTAACTCCAGACTATCTGCAAATCCACTCACTTTTTTGAGCTGCTGTTCCTTGTAGAGTCTAACAGTCTTAGCGAGGTCTGATACTTGACTCTTGTAGTTGTCACACACGTTGAGCCTGGACTGGCTCACCTGCACTGTACCTTCTAAATAGGACCTCCACACTGCGTACACATTCCTGGTTAGAGAGAAAATGCACAACAACACTGCTCAGTAGCTGTTCTATAACTCACATTCCTAAGAGCAATTGGTTAAAGAAAATCATTAAGTTTTCCTGCAGAGAGGCAGAACATTTTAATTCCCAATACCAGTGTGTGGCTGCCACTGTGGGATTAAAAAACAATATGAATGCTGCTGCAAGAACCTACAGCTGGAGTCAATTCCATCATTACTAACTTTCAGCTAGAGGTTTTACATTACACTGCCATTGTTACAATAAATAATGGCTTGTGGTTGTGCTGTAGACCAAATTATGTGGTAGAATGGAAGAGTAATGGTGACCAGAAGTAGGTTTTAGCTCTTAGTTTTATGGAAAATATGACTGAACACACAAACCCACCTGTAGTCTGTTCTCTGGTCATCAGGGTTGATTCCAGGCCAGTCTCTCTTGAGGTACTGACTTGCTAATTTCTGCAGAGCCTGAAAACAGGAGCGAAAATAAAACATTGAGAATAATTAAGGCTAGAGTATCTGAATAGGCAAATTCATGCTTTCAGAAAACATGAATCTTCCTGAAACCTGAAAATTACAATTCATGAGGCTGATATTGCAGAATAGATTCTGATGCAACTTGTTTATAAGCTGCTTTCACACATGCACTGAAGTCTGCATATTTTCTGGAGGGGCTGTACGTTGGAACACAACAAGTTGACCTCGACAACGAGATTCGAAAGCTTTTGTCGATAAAGTCTAATGCCAGTGATGATGTGCTGTAAACAAAAACATGTGCTTTACACAGCGGAACTTCTATGTCCTATTCTACCTCCTGCATGATATACACAATGATGAGTTCTTCATATGTGAAAGGCAAACTCTGGAAAATATCCACACCCAATTTTCCAGACAGAACAAAATATGCCTGCTGTTCAGAGTTCATAGGTTTTAAATTCATTTAAACAATTTAATTATTGACATTTTAGATGATATGAAAAGGATACTACTTCATTCTTTTGTTTCATTTTGTGCAGTGATATTATATTTCTATTTAAAGCATGCAGGCACAATCTTGACTTATGCACTCAGTACACAAACACCAGTATAAAAATTGAGCATCTCTGAGTCAGCAAGAGTGAATCCCAAACAGCTCCTGTGTGTATGAGCAGAAACCCAAAGGCTGTGAGAAAAAATAACCTACATCTTCTGGACTGGGTTACTGTGTCAGAGGCAGCCACTTGCAGACACTCTGCCCCTGTGTGCTTGTGAGGTCTATGGATAAATGCGTGTGTGTGAGGCCATCAAAAATATCTAATACTTTCCTCATGTTCCTTTTCCATGATATTTGGTTTCCCCGTGCAGGTGACACTCTTTAGGGCAGTAGCCACTTGACCCACAGTAGTCACACGCTAAATCCTCTAGAAGAAAGGAGCATTTTTCTAGAAATAAAAAACCTCACCCCATTAGTGTCCCTGGGCGGGAGAGGAGGCAGCAGAGGGCAGTGCCACATTGCATCATACTGTGTCAGAGCGGTCATTTAGTGAAATAGTATAGCAGAAGAAGCAGAGTTACAGAAGTACAGGTACATTTTTGCTGATTTTCTATGGGTTTTATTTTTCCTTCTTTCTTGAATTTTACTTTATTTATTGATTTGTTCAATGTGTACTTAATATACTGCATCAGATATAGCACAGTGCTCATTTCCATCTGTTGTCTCTGGGTATTTATATAATGGTAATCATATTAAAAACATGGTAATATTGCATGACACCTTAATGGTTAAGGGACACAGAAACACAAAAAACCTGCATTGTCTCACACAGGAGGAAACACGTTTGCTTCAAGTATAGTCGACTTCTCTGTCTGTCACTCTCTGGGGAAGGGTGGAGTGGGTGTGAATGTCTTAAATGAAAGACTGTGAGAATGTTTGTTAGAAAAAGAGACTGTGTGACATTCAACATTCATATTGCAGCAGAAGTGCCAGTGATGTAATTCCCCTCCCTGCTGTATAAACATTATTTTAATGGTGCGTGTTTTATGTGTAAAATACCATGTATGTTGGATGCACTTGTGTGTCGGAGAGAGAACAGTGACTGACAGCTGAAACAGCCACTGACTGTGAGCTGCCAGGCTTTCAGGAGGGCTCATCTGACAGCTTGACTTTCACAACACACATTGTTTCCAGACATGAACTCTGGAAAATTGGGTCCACAGTTGTTCACATATGAAGAATGCAGCAGGAAATTGGGTCAGACACGTTCACAACAACAGGAAAATGTCCTGAACATTCAGGTGAGGAGTAACGTATACACAGGAGGCAAGACGTGACTTATAAATTCCTTAGCATCAAAAATGGTATTGGCCCCCATCATCAAAAGCTCTTGAATCTCATTGTCTTTCCAAGTTGACATCTTATTGACCATCTTCTGAATGTATGGAACCTCTTTTTCAGATAGTATTCTTTATTTGTTTGTTTTGCATCCGTTGCGTGTTAGAAATGCCATCAACTTGTGAATACTCGCTCACTGTCCGAACATTTTGCAAGGGAGCTGCCAGGAAAAGTTCCAACAAACAAGCCACTGACTTGGACGTTTGCATTTTCGGATACAGTCTTTGCAGAAATTTGACCGACCTTCTTACATGAGAATTGTCTATAGGAAAAGAAGAAGTCACTTTAACACCGGAATGAGCAGAAGGAACAATTACAGTAACCACTATACCCACTGGTAATTCAAAATATTGTGGGTGTTGCAGGCTTGAAAAACTACCCTGTGATTTTATGTGGGAGCATCGTCTATGGCCGAGACATTAAGTAGTAGGAGTGATGTTACATAGACACAGACGTCGTCCTTCCTGGCTTCAAACCTTTTTTTAATGCCAGCACACAACGTAAAGTCTCCTCGATGAGTCTGTGATGACAGGCCCGCTATCTGAGGAAGAGCTATGGCTGCTAAACTTGGCAATGACTGAATGGTGAGAAGCACACCAGTGACTGATTGTGAAATCCCCCCCCCCCCCTTTTTCTCTCCTGTCATCACCTGACAACCACCTGAACAGTGTGTTGCTATGGCAACCACTGTGCCCTTCCTGTGTGGTCTAAGTGAAGTAGAACAGCTCCATGTAATACACAAGCATACAGCAGACAGACAAATTACACACATACCTCCTGTTTTTGTGATCAGGAGGATAAACAGGGTACTGAGACAGAAGGATATCCTGAGGAGACCATTGTGTGCGTGTGTGTGTGTGTGTGTGTGTGTGTGTGTGTGTCTGTGTGTGAGTTAGTGAGAGAGAGAGAGAGTGATAGAAAGAAAAGGAAAGTAAAATGAAGAACAAGAGAGACTGAATAGCTGCTTTCAGACATGCACTGAACTCTGAACATTTTCCTACAATTTTTGTGGAGCAGCTGTGAGTGAAAACGCAAATCTCCATTTCAGTTACTCCGCACATTTTCAGGAACCTTTCCTGCCAGCCCATAGTAAAATATTCGGAAAATGTCCAAGTGAGCCTATGTGAGAATACAGCAGAACAATCCGCAGTGAAGGAGTAGTCATGTTGATGACATGCAACGGACGGACGTTAAGTATACAGGGACAAAAACAATACAAAATCACAGGTTATCTATGTTTTATGAAAGACAGATGTCATACACATAGAAGACACTGACAAAGATGTCAACTCGGAAAGATAGCAAGATTAAGGGCCGACGCCAGTGTCAATGTGCTGTAAACAAAAACATGATTTCCACAGTGCAATTTATACGTCATGTCCTTCCTCCTGAAGTTTTCTGTAGATCATGTCTAAGAAACAGCTTATGTTGTTGAGTATTGTGTATTTTTGGCATTTATGTTACTAATCTAACAGCCTGTGATTATTATTATCACTGGATTCTTGAACTGCATTCTGTCATTTTCTAAATTCCACATAAGTCAAAGAGAGACGTAACCATTACAGATCAAGGTGATGTAATTGTCCCTGATACCCATAACAGCAAACATATTTACTGTGAAGTTGTTTTGCTGCACCTGAGTCAGTCTTTTTTTGTCCAAACAGCAGCAACTGAAGATTCATTTAGAGGTTACTTAATTGAGCTGTACGCTGTTATGAGGAAATCTCTGCTCATTCATCCAAACAACTGCACTTAAAGTTACAGTGATAGTTCATCCTTCTGTTTACTATTGGCTCTTCCACACACACTTGTGTTATCATGTCTCTGGCTCTGTCACTTTCGCTGCTGTCTCTCTCTCCGATTTCTTCCAGCCTTTGTGTGTATCTGCCTTTTCAACACCCCTTATTTCCTCAGCCTCCTCTTAAATCAATATACTTGAATTTCTCTCTCGTCTCTTCCTGTCTGCACTCCTCTGCCCTACAGCTCCCTGCCTCGTAAATGTGTGTGTGTGTGTGTGCGCGCGTGCGTGTTTGCGCAGTTGGGTCATCTTTGAGATTCACATCTGCAGAGTAAGCTGTGGTGAAGTCAGAGGAAAAGTCACCACTTTTCCTATTTCTTATCTCCTTTCTTTTCAGACTTAGTTAGCATCTATTAATCCTAAAAAAAACAAGCGTTTCACTCACTGTTTCAGTTCTGATGTATAAACCTAACCTAACAACTCACATTTGTAGTTAGAAAACCTAAAAGAACAATGGAAAAAGAGTCATGATGTTACAGCTGATTCACATGTGTCATGCAGAGGGCCACGTCCCACAGCGACAGCCACAGCGCGGGCTGGCCTTTTTGGGCAGTCCAGTGAAGTGTGACCCCAGCCTAAAACTATTCCAGTTATGTTGATCGTGTTAGACGAATACGGGACACTCACATGCTAACACTAGCACACACACAGAGAAAAACATGGAGCCTTTTGATCGACAGCTGGTAATTGCTGGTGACTCCTTCACAGATGGGATGTCTGGTTTGACACAGTGAAAGGACAAAGGTTAAATGACAGCATCATTCTCTGCTTTGTTAAATCCTTGTGTCAGTTTCTTTCCCTGTGTCTCTCTCTGTCCCTTGCTGCTTGCGACCCCCCCCCCTCCTGTCTTCCCTTCCTCTCTCTTTCGCTTCATCTGGCTCTTCTTTCCGTGTCGCCAGGAGGGGGCCAATGGGTGGTCGACTACCACGACTACAAGTGAAGAGCGGCGAGAGAAAGAGAGAGAAACAGAGAGAGGCAAGGGCATATGTGTTGTGATAAAATGCTCAGGTGATAAAGAGGAAGGGGAGAATAGAATAAGTTTGCTCATTAGGTGTTGACACAAAATCTATGTTCTATTCATCAAGCGCCTATAAAAGTAATCAGGGCTCTCAGACATTCCCACACACATTGTTACGCACACATACGTGCACACACCTACAATTAGGAGGGAGTCCATTGTCCTACTGAGTAAGCGGGGGTGTTGCTAGGCAACCTCTTTTTCTAAGGTGAACGAGACAGTGCTGAGGGAGAATAGTGAGAGATGGAGAAAAAACGTAATACAGTGAAGAGTGGAAGATAATGAGTGTCTGAAACCAGAGGGGCTGACCACAGGAAACTCACAAACCACATGCAAATGGACACACACTGACACAACCTCAACCTCTCATGTTTATATGTATATGGATATAAGGGCAACAAATAAGAGCTATTTGTGCGGACAGCTGCACAGAGCAAAGACGTTAATATGTTGGATGGATAATGTTTTATAACATTTTTCATTAAGCTACAGAAGGATTTTGCAGCTGAGAGCATTTTTCAGGGTGTCTATATGGATGTGTGTGAACTGTGAACATGTATGATGGGAGCTTAAGTTCAGCTGCATCAAAATATAATGAAAATCAGACAGTCTTACATTGTTGGTGACAGGCTCTGGTTGGTTTCTACTAACACAAGGCTCAGCTAATGCTTAGTAAGTGGAGAGTGCTGATGCAGCCTTCTACTGGGATATGTATTTTGAATTTTGTGCACCCCGACAAATCTGCAGCTCACTATAGAGTGGCTGTCTTACAGAGGGAAATAATTTCATGGTATGGAGGTGGTCATTCTGCTAATAAGTATCCAAGAAAAGTTAAATAAAAAGAAACTGGACTTGGTTGTAGATACTCAAAGACATTTCAGGATCCTTCAGTTCTGACTGACAGGTACAGAGTTTCACCAGTGTGGTACAAAACCTGGGGCTAAACTGTTAAAGACTACTCAAGTATTGATAAGCTCCAACGTTAAAGGTTCGGCTCTCTGGACTGGAAAATATAAGAAAATAGATTTTCTATTTATTTTATTTTTTTCCAACTTAAAAGTTATCTTGCATATTTCATTTACCAACAATTCTGAATAAGGCTACATAGACGTTTACTATGTTTTCAATTGAAAGTGCATCAACTCTACTTGTGACCATGTTTGTCTCCTTATATTTCAGACATGCTTCCCTGGTGGGTGGAAAGCTGCTTGGAGTCAGCATTGAGGGAGTAGTCGCCATACCAGGTATTTTAAAGTTAGATCTCTGCCAGAGCCTGTATGCTAACATGTTACCTAACAGTTGATACTAACAAGAAACATTGTCACGAGCACAAAAAGTATTTTGCATGTAACAGAAACACAAGTAATCTTTGGACACATGTAGAGGAAGTCTATCACAAACAGGCAGAGAACTGCATAATATTCCACTGCTGAGCACGTAGTTCATCTGTATGCTAGCAGCCTGAAGCTGTCACATGGAGTTAACCTAATTAAATGACCATGGGTTGATGATTAAAAGCAACTATGAGCAATCTGATTGTTACGAGTGTGTTCAGAAATTCAATCCGAAATAGAGTATCATCTGAGCTGTCGTTCATAAATTTACAGTTTCTGTTGCACATCACTCAGAGCAGTGATTAAGGGGCTGCAGGCAAACTACTGCACAAACATATATTTATTCTTTCTTTTAAAGTAGAGAGTGTTGTCAGAAAGAAAAGTAGCGCCATTAAAACTTTAACAACACTCATTCCTTGTGAGATCTTTACCAAGGCCATTGATGTCCCTTGGTTCGTTAGAGCTCCTAGCTGATGTAACAACCATTGTTAGAATCATCATCCAGTATCTCTAACCAAGTCCTGCTGCCCTCGAGCCATTCTTCAGTCATTCTCATAGTGCTTAGAAATATAAACACTTTATATCTCCCCCGAAGTCTGAATATTGATGTTGATGATATAGCCTTTTAGCTCAAAATAAGCATAATGAACTTTATCTTAATTCAGCGTGCTTAAGTTTACTTGCCTCAAAATATGAAATCTTGAATTTAAAGTAGTATATACTAGCAACTCTTTTTTCAGACTTGGGCTCTGGAGAATGTCTGGGAAATTGGGTTCGAACTGTTTTTGGAGTTTGCCTTTTATATATTAAAAATGCAGCAGGACATTTTCCAAGTCAGATGCATCCACAATGCGCAAAACAATCAGGCGAGGGGTTGCAGCTGTCTCTATCCTACAAGATTCATGATTACTATTCAGCATTTCATAAGTCGGAAAAAAGAGCAACAGAATGCCTGGAAGAAAACAAAAAAAGAGGGAGAAATCTATGAGTCAAATATGGCCTAGAGCAGTGTGTGAGTTTTTATACTGAATCAAATCGAAAAAGGTCTAATTTTATATACTCCCCTCAAAATCTTATTTTAATATGATTTTAAGTTGGTAAAGTGAGGGAGCAAAAATTCTGATTTTCATCAACCAACAAAAAATGTGGTCACATCTTTAAAAGAGGATTAAAGCATGATATCTGCATAGTAGGGGTTCCATTTGCAAGACTTTTAATTTGAGTATTACAATTTTGTATTTAGTTTCTCAATTTTTTCTGAAGTTTTTGGCTACTCACAGCATTAATTCAACAGTTTAAGCAATTTAGGTTTGTTGTTTGACAAAAGTGCTGAAAGTTTAGCTCAGCACTTGAAGCATAACCTCTGAGTCTTGTGGTCAGCCTAAGTTCTAAAAGTCAGTTCTAAAACTAACATACTGACATTTGGTTGACAATACACATTTCCCTTTCCAATCTTTCTAATCTGCAAACACAGTACTGAAGTCGCAGGGCTAAAGGCAAAGCACAACTTCTGATTTGGGTCAGGTTTTAGCAGAGTTCTAAAGCTGAAGTTCTGTCTCTTGTCAATGTGTTCACAAATCAGAAAAATGTGTGTCATTTGATACTCCTGAGGCAACCTCATGTTGAATACATGACACATTGCATAAACAGACATAATTTTCAAACTAAGGCTCAAAGCATTGACATTTGCACAGCAGTTCAGGTTGGTTACAGTAGGTGAGAAGAGTTATCATTGCCTACAATCTCTCTAATTGAAAGGCATTGTTGGGATTTGAATGCAGGATCTCCTGTTTATTAGACAGGCACTTTGACCAACAAAGCCAAAACACCAGCTCAAAAGCATTACTAGAGCAATTAATAGATCCAGACTATAAAGCCTGAAATACACAAAATTGATTTTATACTAATCCATATCTGTCAGTCCCCCCCCCAAAAAAACCCATATCACAATATTTATAACTCACAACCATGATACATTAGTTGAATTGCAGTCTTTTCTCCCAATTCTTAAAAGTTGGTTAAGCACATATTCAATACAAGTCAAGCCAGTCTTACCTGTGCATAGTCCCTCTCCAACTGTCCCTTCTTTAGACTGTAGCTCCTACATAGAGAGACAGAGATTTTTTCAGGTTATTGCAGGCAGGAAAGAGAAGAGACATGTACATGTTAAAGACAGAGGAATCAAATCTGATATTTTCCATTAATAGTTTCTGTATTATAGTGAAGAAAAAACAAATGTGTAACAATCAATCGTGTTCCTCATATCTCAGGGGTGCACTCATGACATTGTCATAATACAAAAGAGAAATTACTATCTCCTTCATGTCTCTTTACTGGCTGACAGTTACTAGTATATTTTCTTAAAATGCTCCAGGTCTGACCAACAAAATGAACAAACCCTAACAAACATCTCTCTTGTCCTCTTGCCAAACAAACCGACAGCAGAGACAGTGAAAGCTCTTATCACAGCCCAGGAATGTGCAGAATGAAAAACATAACATTATACATATGATTACATGGTGTGATAATGGCCGCATGTGCTGAATTAACAAAGCTGAATGCATACTGCTGATGACATCACCAGGTCCAAATATATTTAACCTGTGTATTTTTTAATAATTTTGACTACTTCTAAATTTGATACTCAGAATATGTATGATAAATTGAATACATTTAATTGAATCAACAAAACTTTGTTGCTTCTAGAAGGGTATAAAAGCTTTAGGTGACAAAATTGTAGAAAAGAAAGTGCTGGGAACCCATGAACTGAAAAATTCGATTTTAGTATTACCAATCAATGCAGACTAATAACATAAAAATTGTTCAAGTATTTATTAAGAGTCCTCAACATGTTCACGTGAGTCAATTTCCGGTTCAGTGAGGAAGGTAGTACATACACCACATACTGATCATAACAGGGTGTTTATGACTGTCACCCAGCAAATCTACTTGTAAGTTACCACAATTACTGCTTTAACCATCTAAGCCACAGGGCCTGCTGAAAGTGAAGAGCCCTCTAAAAAGTAATCAGCAGATGCAGATAGACCTGAAATACTTTCACAAAAATTACTTTATACTCATCAATATCTGCCAGTCCTCCCAAAAATCCATATCACAATCTTGATCAATTATTGAATCTTTCATAAATCTTGAATGTAGACTACAGGAATAATATACTCAAATCATGGGCCATCAACATCAATGTTATAAAATGATAAAGCAGTATCAAATGATGATTTGATTGACATCTCAGTGCAGTATTGGAAAGATTTACGATTCATTTTAAACAAACAACAGCTCTACTCCTGCAAGTTATGTGCTGAAAGTTTAATCCTCCTGTTTCATGTTACATACATTTTTATTATTTATTATCAATACAAGGAACTACATTTCCTGTTCAGTTAAGTTTAGAATATACACTGCACGCTGATTATAACAAGGTTCTCAAAGTTTTCATATTGATACAATTGAAACTGAGCTGGACTATTGAAAAGACCCTGCTGGAATTGGACAAGCACAGAGCAGTGTGAGATTAGCTGGGTGATGAATTAAAAAGGTTTCAAGGATTTACCATACCTTTCCTCTGATTTTAGAGCGCAGAGAAAATATTTGAATCATCTCTAAAACAGCATACATATAAGGTCCAAAAATATTATATGCCGTACGTATGTTACTTTACCCTGTACTAGATTTCATTGTAACTTAAACTCATACAACACAGCCGTTTAAAATAAACTCCATATAATAGACTGTGTGAGGGGACTCAGCAGCAACAATCGAGCAACAACAGGGAAGCGAAACAATGGAGGATGCCAAAAAAGGAAGACAACACACTTACTGTAAGTGTAGACAGCATAATTACTGCCAATTCTCTCTGTGCTAATTACAGTCCAAACAAATAGGGCAGTGCTTTTGTCAAATGTTTCCACAAGAAATCATTTTGTGTTAAAGCTGTTAGGTGAACCTGTTTTCTTCATAACTGCACAGAGAAACACCAAACCAACCATATTTCCAACAGACAATTATCTGATGTGAGAGGCTGAAGCACCAGTATAGTCTTTAACTCCACCCCTGTGCATGCTAGTTGAAACATGACACACTCCCTCCCCCGATCACGCAGATACCCGTTACTAACTCTCAGATCTGAGTCTGCACAGCTATAAAGATATGTTGCATATCTATGCAAGCCTCGTTGGCGCAGTAGGCAGCGCGTCAGTCTCATAATCTGAAGGTCGTGAGTTCAAGCCTCACACGGGGCATTTCTTTATAATTACTCACCCACGTAAACAGCAACAACTTACTGGCTCCACACTGAACAAACACTATCATCATAACCAACTTCTCATAGGTAAAGCAAAAGTAAACTCATCCAGTTTTCAAAACATTAACATTCATCTTAAATACATTTATTAACATTGTCAAGACTCATTCTACACAGTAACAGCTGAAATTGAAAGGTCTCTTTCTTCTTCCTGTTGGACAGATGAATGACCTCAGTTCTAAACTAAACAACAGCAGCAATGCTAGCTGTTCGTATTCTTCAAGTCGTGCCTGAGGCAAACACAGCTCTGTTGTTATGTGTGGAGCCCCTTGTGTGCAACAGAAAAATGTATAATTTCACCGTATAAATACAATTAATATAGACAGATATTACTTTAAAATATTTCACAACACTTTCTCAATTTAAAATAGACAATGTTTCAAAAACAATCAGCCTTTATATGCCTCAATTGTCCATAATCAACAAACATTTATAGTTATTGTTATGCCTACAAGGACTAAAAAACTCAGGCTAAAATGAAACAATGGGGGACCCACAAACAAATATATCAGGCATAACCATTGACAACCAGAGACTGAGCCTTTGCCATCCTTATTCAATCACACTTAACACTGATCTTAATTAAAATCCTGCTGATTTCATATTTATGTTCTTGGATAAATGGGACATTGTTAGGAGAACCATCCTTGCCTACAATCTCTCCAATTGAAAGGCAAGCAACAGCGCCTGCTGATATGCAAAATTGACAAACCAAAACTGTAGGACAGGGCAAACTAGCAGGAAATACATTAAGAAGATGGGAGGGTATGTATAAACAAAGCCTGACTGGTAAAAAGGCACTGCTGGGAGTTGAACCCAGGATCTCCTGTTTACAAGACAGGCACTTTGACCAACTAAGCCACAGCGCCTGTTGAGATGCAGAAGTGACAAACAAAAGCTGTACGACAGGGCAAACAAGCAGAAACTACATTAAGAAGATG